GTCACACTGCCAGAAACACCCAAAAGTGGCAGGTAGAAAATGGTATCCAGAAGTTGCCCTGGCCGAGCCAATCTCCTGACATGAACCCCATCGAAAACCTCTGGGCCATACTCGACCGGTAAGTCACGAAACAACCAAAAAAAAAAAAAACCAAACTTCGAAGAGCGATCTACTCCAAGTTTTGAAGCAAGAGTGAGTGAAAATCCCACAATCTAAAATTGACGAGATGATTCTCACGATGCCCCAAAGGATCAACGAACTGCACGAGATTGTCCACATGTCTGTAAATTATAGCAGTTAACTTAACGTGAAGATATCCAAGACTGTCCCCATATCTGTAAATTATAACAGTTAACTTAACGTGAAGATATCCAAGATTGTCCCCATTCTGTAAATTATAACAGTTAACTTAACGTGAAGATATCCAAGATTGTCCCCATGTCTGTAAATTATAACAGTTAACTTAACGTGAAGATATCCAAGATTGTCCCCATGTCTGTAAATTATAAGTTAACTTAACGTGAAGATATCCAAGATTGTCCCCATGTCTGTAAATTATAATAGTTAACATTAGACTGTCCTAAACAAATGGACTTATCACTCAAACTTATCAACTACTGATATACTACCGATCTTTACAATCTATTAATTATCCGATTTTTCAAATTTCTTAATACCTTACGTGCACATATTTCTAGGTCCAGTTCTGGTTCTACTGAGAATTAATACAGCCGCTGGCGACTTGCTAGTTACAGACCAGATGGTCTTAGATCCAAGTTCTGGTTCTACTGAGAATTAATACAGCCGCTGGCGACTTGCTAGTTACAGACCAGATGGTCTTAGATCCAAGTTCTGGTTCTACTGAGAATTAATACAGCCGCTGGCGACTTGCTAGTTACAGACCAGATGGTCTAGATCCAAGTTCTGGTTCTACTGAGAATTAATACAGCCGCTGGCGACTTGCTAGTTACAGACCAGATGGTCTAGATCCAAGTTCTGGTTCTACTGAGAATTAATACAGCCGCTGGCGACTTGTTAGTTACAAACCAGATGGTCTTAAGGTGACGATGAATCTCTTCTTCACTCCTAGTGTGTTGTGATATCGTTGCATGTTGCTGCAGGAGGGTGGTGGGACTTGAGAGTCTGTCTCGTTTTCATTTTTTATTGTTGGCAAGTTAACATAGCCAAATGAAGTTTGGCAAGGGTCTGCGTGACTTGTGAAAAATTATCTATAATTAAAAAACGAAGGCTGTCGATAAAAACTGCCACTTTTATAAGCTGCTCTCAGAAAATTTTTAAACCCCTTATATTTCCTTCAAAACATACCAATTCAATAAACTGTAGAACCCCAGAGGCTCAGCGGAAAGTCTGAAGGCTTATAACGCTAAAAACCGAGCTTCGACATCCGTGGTGGGCACAGCACAGATATCCCATTGTATAACTTTTCGCTTAACAACAAACAAACAAAACAAAGAACTGTTTACTAAACGACTGTAGGATCGGATCTAGACCTCCGTTTGTTAGTTAATGTGTACTTTATCTGTCTCTAATAGCGTTCAGTAAAAATGGAATATTTCGTACAAAAGAAAACTATAGTTTTTATGAAACTACCAACATAACACATTCTATTAGTAAGTTTCGGACTAACTTAAAATGTTTGGTGTATCCATTTTTAGTTTTAATTCTTGGATAATGAGAAATAGATTAAATAATATTATTTTAAAAAGTAGCGCACATTAAAGGACCTGAATAAATTTAATAATAATAAAAAAGAATTCGCCATTGTAGATCCTACGCATGCGTTCTAGGAAAGAGCACTAAAGTGGTATGTGTGCTGAAGAACAAACTAATAGCCATGAAATATCACCCGTAATGTGACTTCGAAATTTATCCATTATAAGCACCACCGTGTCCCTTATCATCTCCTAACTGTACACCTTTGTCCAGCACCACCCCAAACACCATTCGCCCTTTTAGGTTGGATTTAGGCCTTCCCAGACTGGGGAGAAGAAGGCTGGTAAGAGATCCAATCGGACTATATCCTCCATGACTGCCTCCTCCTCCTCCTATGTGAACTGATAATCCCTTTGAGGGAGCATGGTCGTCATAGCCTCTATCATAGCCACTTTCATGATAGTCATCCCCGTAACCACTCTCATGATATCCACCCCCGTAGCTACTATGACTGTTGTGATCCAACTTCGGGGGTTCAGGAGGATAGTAAGAAGGAACTGGAGCCTGATAGCCATAGTTATTAGATGAATAGCTTGGTGCAGGGGGTGGATAATGGAAAGGAACAGGAGGAGGAGGAGGTGGTGGTGGTGGAGAAGGCGGTGGAGGAGCATATCCCCCATAACTATACTGTGATCCTCCAGAGTGGCCATTATCATTGTGTGCTTTTGATTGTTCAGCAGGTACAAAGGGATGTTCTCCTGACCTATTAGGGCCCAAAGTTTGGGTGGAAGACTTTTGATTATTTTCTAATGTGGAAGCCTCCAAAACTTCCAGTTCGTTCAATGCTGATGTCTTGACAAGCGTTACATCATCTACGTCATCATCAAACTGAACAATGTCATTCTGGTTTTCTGTTAGCTGTGGGGTGGTTTTCTTGGTCGTGGTATTTTTCATAACTGTAGACGAAGGCGTAAAATCTATAGCCCGAGTTGAATTCTTGTCTCTGTTCCCGGAGGCTTCAATAAGCCCTGTGACTAATCCACTGGCGTCAGGGTCATCATTCATCACCAGTGTTGTTGATGATTCTTCATCCACAACTGGACTTTCAACAGAAGTTTCTTCCATCGTTGGGTCATCCTGTTTTTGCTGGCTAGTACTATTAGATGTAACCTCTTTACTATGGATATTGTTGGAAAAGTCTCTTGTTAGAACCGTCATATTATCACCTTCCAAATTAGCAGTGGGCAACTCGTCTATGGTTCCAGTCAGAACGGGATTTGGTCCAAACCCACTCTCCAATGTATTTTCCAAAAATGGATTGGTCGGCCTCAGCCCGATTCCAGTGTTTCCACCATTAATCTGTGGAATTAATCAGTTCATAGAATCAAGTTTTTGAAAAAAAAAAACCTTGAAAAGAACATTAATTCTAAACTTTTTAAAAATATTAACTTGATATTATGTAACTGGTAAAACCTGAAAAAACATTAAATAACCCTTTAATATTTATGGTGATGATAAATATACAAAATCGTTCAACTTTATTATCTATGTAAATAAATAGTCACTATCGACAGTTAACGATGTTATATCAGGATTAAAGGCAGTCACATAATATAGGAGTGTTACCATGCATTAGTTTTCCAACCTCTTCAGTTAATATGTAAAATGTTGTAAATTTCCATCTTTTCAGCTCCGTTTGGATGTAAAAAGTTGCTCAAGTTTTCCTTTCTGAGGTGCACACTGGTTTTGAATTCACTAACAGGTAATTAAGCGTGATTTCTTACAGAAAAGATAGATCGTGGCGTGATGACATAGAGTGACCTTATAACATAGGCGGCTGTCCTTTCTGTAGACAAATCGGATAATAGCCAGAAGCTGCCACTGTGCTCAGATTACAGTCGACGAAAATAACGTGTGGAAGGTGGAGTTGTGTGCAAACCTGGCTTTGTATTTAAAAGCCAGGCTTGCCGCCGTAAGAGTAATTTTTGACTTTTAACTTCAGTATCTTTTAACAAGATGAGTAACTTTGGATAAAATTTCCTTAACTTCATTTTTTTGTAATGTTTGCTAGTTTTAATAAATCTTTTGCTTAAAGTTGTAGTGACAATTTAACATGTTGCTAGCTTGTGGCAGATGTTAACTTTCGAGGGAGTTAGAGTTGACTTTTTGTTTAACGTAGTTAAAGCGTTTGATTTTTTTTCTTAATTTAACTATGAGGTTCTATCTTACGTTTTAAGTTATACATCCTTTTAGATGAGGACGGTATTAACAGTTTTACTCTCCTCTTGCCAGTACCATAAACACTTGTCTATGTGTTTTACATTGTGTTTGTTTTGACTCTTTTGTGGTAATAAATATTGTGATTTTTGCTGCATTTGTTTACCAACGAACCTTGATCAGAGTTTGGAGAGAGAAAAAACAAAACAAAAAAACTCTTATAATTCTATATTCTCGGAATCTCCAGTTAGCGTGCAGTTTAGGCATTGAAAAAAAAAATGTCTTTGGAATTTTACTTCTCCAGTTGTAAAAGTTATAAGTCTGAGTGTGGTTTGATGGTTAGTGTACTTAGGAAGATCCAAAGTCTAAGTCCCGAAATCCAGTTAAATATGTTCTGCACTTTCAACTCTGTAGGCAATATATCTTTGACAGTTAACCCCACTATTCAGCTCAGTGAAGCCTCGTAGGCGGCGGGTGCTTTTGATTAATTTCCCTCTCTCTGGTCAGTAGCTCAATATTCGAGAAGGCTGTACTTGAATCTAAGAGGTCTCTGACCTGGTTATTTAACCCATGAGGGCATAAGGCGTCGTTCATTTTAAAAAAATCCCATTTCCCGCCAAAAATGGTCTTTCTAACCATCATGACACACATAACCATGTCTTAGGCAGATCTAGAAAGGTATTGTTTATTCGGCAAGTTCCAAGTGTTATAATTATCGAGATATAATTCATTTGTATTCTGTCTTTCCATGAAGGCTTAAACGCAGAACGCGTGCCGAGGTGGTTGACCGAGTTGAACACTTAATCTGAGAATTCATCTTAAAATAGAAGTGGGTCAAGTAAATATCCCACCCTGCCCTGCGGTCTGGTGTTAATTTCTGTCTGTTGTGGGATTCCGTTGTATCATTTCAAATATTTGAAGTCACGGTCGTAGACAAACACTTGGGCGTGAGTGCAATAAAAGTATTGTTTTAGAAGCAATTACGAATACCATCTTTACAACTTTCCTCATGATTTTATCAAAAAAACAGACTTTTTGAAGATATTAATTTGAGATACAACGTAAGTTATAGGCAATAAAAACCTCTTCTGCCATTTAAGTAAGATGCATTTGTGAAAGATGACACGCTTAATGTAGGGATAGCTCACACTTGGTGATACAACTTATGCTCGTGCCTTTATGAACCTAGCCTTACATAAAAATATTTATTCCTTTAAAATTAAAATTATTTCATAAATGAACATGAGTTAACTGAAATCAGTAATTTCGCTATGAAAAACTGTAATAGTTACGAGGTTACATATCATAGTGTGATAAAATGGTGTTATTAATAGATATTCAAAAGTGTGTGCTTTTTATTACTTGTTCACAACAGACTACAATGCACTGATAATAAATATATTTATCAATCTGTTCTAATTTTCACAGTTCACGTAATTTCGAAATAAAATTGCCTGGCAGTTGTAACTTTAAACTAAACTCAGTCATCTATTAATTTGTAAGTTCTGTTGCTATTAAAATGAGAAGTGTTTCATTGTAAATAAACAAAAAGAAATGGATTAACAGAAGTGTAGTTCATTTAATAATAAAAATGTTACTTTTACCTGAGTAGGCCTAAAGGGTGTGTTGACCCTATTTCTCCCCAACACCGTATCAGCGTTCACTGCCCACGCTACGACACCTACATGGGGATGTAATTTGATTAATTTCCAAACATATTAATATTAAAACACCATTCTATTTGGAATGAAAATAGAAAGGCATCATACAAACTAAAATAAAAAATAAAATTTTAATTTATAGTATATCTCAAAGAACAGATGTGTTAAAGTTTTACATTCTAAATTACTTATGCTTAACATTAAAATATAAATTACTCCAAATGACTAAAAGGCTAAAATTATTATTTGCAGTTCAATGCCACACAGCTAAAAACTCAATTATTATATTTATTACGCAATTTGGGAATCGTAGATATAACATAAAACAAAGATACCATTTTGAACATATTAAATAACTTTATGAAATACAAAACGTAATAAAAATTCCAACTTTTAAATACGTATCAAAATTCTAAAAAAAGTTAGTAACGTAAAACTTCTTAACGACGTCCTAAGTGTTAGGCCATTGTTACTATTTACAAAGACCGTTCCACCTTCGATTGTTACAAAATGTATGTTAATAATTTTCCACGAAGACTGCTTCTCTGACATTTCAGTCCTAAAAAAAAGGTTAAAACAAATGTTAAAGCAGGAGAAAATTAAGTTTATGCCTTATATAGTTTGTATCTTCTTTATGGTGTTCGAAAGGCTAACACGTTAATTATACCTGATTCCACCAATATTTTGTTTCTATATTTTCATAACATGATAAAACTTTATAATTACACAAATTCCTTTGGACTTATAACACCACATCAGTGTTCACGTTATTTAAGGCAATTTATTCTACGCGGGAATAAGTCTGTTTAGTGGAAATATATCATGTGATGAGACTACTGCATTAGGCCTATTTGCTCATACTTTACCTTGCCTTCCTTTCAAGGCTCTTCCGCATACTACTGGTGAGACTACTGCATTAGGCCTATTTGCTCATACTTTATCTTGCCTTCCTTTCAAGGCTCTTCCGCATACTACTGGTGAGACTACTGCATTAGGCCTATTTGCTCATACTTTACCTTGACTTCCTTCCAAGGCTCATTTGCATACTACAATTAAATGTTGTTTGTTTCCTTCTTTTAGATCTCGAATACTACTGCGAATTTACGTGTGTTTTCTGTTAATCAAATGAACAAACAAACTAAACATATCACATAGACTAGACACATTCCTTCCTATAGAATTATAAAGTGTCTCAATGACGTTACACAATACATCAATACGAAACATTTTTAAATAAATTTATTCAAATAAAAATAAACTACGCACCTATAATTCCAGCAACTATTGGAAGAATCAGCCCAATCGCAATAAGTATCCTCGCCTTTCGATTTCCGTTTCCTTTTTTACTATTTCGGTCTTCCTGAACTGCCAGTGATGGGAATCGACCACGGCCAGTCGACCTTTCTGAAAAGTGGACAAGAAGGGGCTGAAAGGGAGAAACTTGCTGTCTCATACTGACCAATAAAAATATCCTTGATTCGTAATTATGTCTTGGGGTGGTACGTGACTAAAATGTCTTTAAGTAATAACGTAAATAGTTCCAAAAATCCACCCAATATAAATTTTCTCCAACATGGAATTCTCCTCTACTTGTCTACCTGTAAATAAAATCCTGGTGTTCTAACTCTAGGGAGAAAACACGCGAACTGAAAACAGTGAGGGTGAAACTCCTTTCCAATAGTAGAATTGAACAGATATGCCTGCGCTGTAAAGTCTAAAGTAGGTCATTAAATAGAACATCGACCACCACCACCTTGAATCAACAGCGCGTGCTTACGACACCGAAATGTTGTTCGAGACGATTTGTTTTCATTTGACGTCACCATGTTTCGTTTTTGCTACCAGATGAGTGTTTAGGTAAATTGCTTATCTGTCCAAAATACTAAGTCATTGGTCTCAGGACTAGTAGTTTCCTTATTTGTTTAATAGATTTATTTCATGATCTTATTTGTCTATTTTAGCGCAAAGCTACACATTGGCCTTTCTACGCTCTGTCCACCGCAAGAATTGAAACCCGGATTTTAGCATTGTCAGTCCGTGAACTTACCGCTGATCCGGGACATTTTCATTTTGTATAGTCTAATCTTTATTTTATTTGTTTAACAACACTTTTTTAAACGGAAATTACTTTATTACGAAAAGTCATACTCTAGGAGATAAAAAAAAAAGATTCACATTGCTTCTAGATTTTCATATCCATATAATAGTTTCATGTTTTCAGTTTAAATACCGATAATAACATTAATCAGTGATCTACTAGTAACACCAATTCTCTGTAACTGTCAAACTAACCCTAGAATTGTATAATCTATTAATCAATTAAAATATTTAAAAAGACGAATGTTATCAATATTGTAATTATTCCCATTAATTACCGCTATGTTCCCCTATGTATTCCATATGGAAAATTAGTGATTTTATTGAATTTGTTGTTATATCAGTTCTTCATATTGAGTAACGTTTCGTCCACAAATAAATATTTTATACACTACACCTAGAATAGCTCAATCCAAATTTATTAAAACTATTTAATTATTAAGTTTTCCTAGTTAATTTACATTTACAACAACAATTTTGGAGTTGTTAAGTTTTTCCTCACTTCATAAAGGTTGTGTCATCTCTCACAGTTATGTAAAAATAGTTTTAAAATCAATAATAACGTAAAGCTAGATAAAAATTAATATTACTCTCATTTATTTGTCCCCCAATGGCACAGCGGTAGGTCTACGGACTTATAACACTAAAAACCGGGTTTCGATACCAGTAGTGGGCACAGCAAAGATAGCCCATCGTATAGGTTTGTGCTTAGCTACAAATAAACTCGTGTAACTTTTGACGGAGATGAAATAGATTAATTTATAATAGATATAAATATTTAAAGTTCATTACGTCGAGGCCTGACATGGCCAGGTGGTTAAGGCGCTCGACTGGCAGGTTCGAATCCCCGTCCCACCAAATATGCTCGCCCTTT